TTAGATGGGTCAAGTAAATAAGGCTCCTGCCATCCAAGGCCGCCCAGCCTTTACACGTAATGATGTCACCCTATACCCATCAAATACAGAGAAGGCCACAGAAACTGTTCAGTGAAAACAGAAGATGTCAAAATATAATGTGTGGCACAGCCGGTGTGCTCAGTGGTTGAGCATCAACCCATGATCGAAGAGTTCACCAATTCGATTCCTGATCAGGGGACATGCCCAGGTTGCGGTCTTGATCCCCAGTGCGGGGTATGCAGGAGGCAGCTGATCAATAATGTTTCTCTCTCCTTGATGTTTCTATCTCTCTATCCCTCTCTCTTCCTCTCTCTCTAAAAATCAATTCAAAAAAATTTAAAAAATCATGTGTGGTTTGAGTCTAGTTTTGCAAAAATATGTGCATATATGTAGAAAGAAATATACCTAAGCATAACTGTTTTTTTTATAACTGTTTTTCTATCAATGGCATGATTTAGCTTATATTTTATTTATGCTTCATAATTTTCTGTAGCATCTGACTCTTTGTAACCAGGACATTTCTTTATTTTTATAACTAAATGCAAGATATATATTTGTATTTGTGAAAAATAAGCCATTTCTTCCCAAGCTGGATAAACAAATGCCCATTTTGTTCCCTAAAAACACCTGGAACATACCTTTTTAGATTACTTATCACATTAAATCAGTCGTTTGATTGCTGGACTTCCTGGCTAACCTAGGGGTTCCCATGAGAGCAGCTGCTACTTTTCATGGACTCTGCATCCAGTGCTCAGCTCAGGGCGTGGCGCATGAAGGATGCTCGGTAGAGTACTACTTGCTCCTTGGCTTCTTTCATCCAGTGTCTTCTTCCTCCCACCCCTGGCTCTAGTCGAATTACCTCCACCTCTGCCAGGCACCATACTGTCTCCCAGATACTGTGGGTCAAAAGCTGACGTGTTTGCAGGCATCACAATGAAAACCAATTTTGGATCAAAAAGATGTCATTTGGCAAAATCAGCTGAGCCACTCCAAAGTCTGGTTAACATATGGACAGTCCACTAAAATAATGGAAGCTGGGGGTGCGGTCGGGTCTGGGAGAGCAGACAGGATGTGATTTGTTTGCGGAGGGTCTCCGTGAGATGGTCAATTGAAGACCATTTCAGGGGAATTATGGTCCAGGGCTGATCGCTTTCTGTTGTGCTTCTTTTGCATCATGATGGAAACCTGACACTTTCTAGCCTGGAGCATAACGAGTGGAACGAAGATTTACATTTTGTAGGGTACACTTTATGCAATTTTGGAAGTTCAACTAAGTTTGGAAGTTCTAAGCAACAGCCTCCTTACCCCGCCTAGGAAATTAGGGGGCTCCTCTCCTACCCCCACACCCCAACTTCAATACTATTCCAGTGCCTGGTCGTGTTCCCAGGTCCAGACACTGCCTTCCAGGATCTCTACATTGGAGGACATCAAGGGAAATCTTCCAGTTGGAAATGGAAACCAGGCTCTTGCCTTGAAGCCACACGCACATATCCAGGATATGGCTTTCACGTGGACTGTTTTTGTTTTGACACGGGTAGTGGTTAGGGCTGTTGTGGTTTTTACATGGGTAGTGCAGTGGTTAGGACTGTTTTGGTTTGACACAGGCAGTCTAGAGGTTAGGAGCACCAACTAGCAGCCTGTATTCATTTGCTAACTCCACTACTTAATGGCTGTGTCACACTGGGCCAATTACTTAGCTTGCAGTGCTTAACTTTTCCATTTGTGGAGATGCAACTCATCATACTACATTCCTAATAAGCATGTGGGTTAATGTCAGCTAATGTCTAAGCAAGTGCCTGGTGCATGGTAAATGCCATGTGCATGTTCACTCGATAATATTTACTTGGCTTAATGTATGTTTTTAAATGCTCTATATATGTTAGATATACATATGCATATATTTTATAAGATATACAGTATACTAGTCTATAAGATATATATCTTACAATAAAATATTTTTACAAGGAGGGATTGAGGATGATTATCAGGGGAAGAAGCGCTGAACGGCCTTCCAAGAGCCCCTGGCATCACCATTTCCCTCTTCGCGCTACAGATACCGGAGCCTTTTTCAACTCTTGGTACCTCTACGTGTCTCCTGTTAATTATCTCGGCTGCCAGCAACCGTCCTCTCTCCCTCAGAGCAGAGCCTGGAACCTGTCCCCTGTGCCTGGGTGTCTGCAGCTGATCCTGCCCATCCCTCTCTCTATCTCCCAGCATCAGCTCCATCACTATCTGCCTGGCAATTATCTATGGGCAGGAAGAGGCGGGCGTCTGTGCTGTGTCACCAGGTGACTCCCGAAGTCAGTTCCCACCACTCTCCTTAGCGGATCCACACTGCAGGTTCCTAGAAACCTGAAAGTTTCTGAAATTGTTTTTCTTTTTGAGATTTCCGTGAAAGGGCCAAATTACTTTATGTTTCTTTCACAGGCCGGATACATAACTACTGGAGCAAGAAAGTATTTATTTTACCATGTAAAAAGATAACTTGCTTCTACTGGGTATTTATAAGCTGGGTGTATTACCTGATAACCGTAAACATAAATGTAAGTATCTTAACCTATATTTTCTAAATTCCTAGGTTGGTATGAGAACCACAGTTAGGCACCAGTCCCCCCATTAGACCTGAGAGTTAAATTTCAAAATCAATACACGGACATGGTCAGGTACGTGCACATCATGGTAGGCAGACCAAACTGTTGGCAGAATAAATTAGGTTTTGACTATAAACTCAGAGCTGATGTTAACAAGAAAGCCAAGCCCAGGAGAGTCCAGCAGAAGTGGAATTCAGAAGAATGACAGAGAAAAACACGGTGTTACTGTAACTCCAGGCCACAAAGAAGCCGCCCTGAGAAGCAGATGGAGGTGTCTGGCACATACATCCTCACTGACAGACAGGGCCTGCCAGCTGCATTGTGTCCTGATTCCTTTGAACATTGAAAGCAGGTACCTTTCCTTGCTATGATACTGTGACCTCAGCCAAACTTCCCACGTAGATTCCCGACAGTTACAGACTGTGCTGGTCAGGCCAAATGAAGCATCCTGTGCACTTTCAACGTACATATCTTATTTTAAATTAATCATCTGTCAACCCATTTCTTTTTCCATGTCAGTATTTTTATACCTGAGTTCCTGGATTTCAAAACAGAGAGCCAGACCCTGGACTATAATAATTTCACAAAATAACATAGCTTCATCAGGCATTCCCAGAAAGAATTGATGAGTGACTACACACATCTATTCAAATGTTTATAGGATGATGTTTTCCTAAATATAGATTTAAAATGTTCAGAAATATAGAAGAATTACAAAGGTTAATGTGAAAAAAAGAAGGTTAACGATTTCTCAACTGCATGTAAGTGAAATAAATCAGCCATACCCGGGGATGAGATACAACCTCCATAGCTGTGTTTTAATCTCCCTCTCCCTCTCCTTCTTTGTCATCTCTTCACGCTTCCCTCCTCTTCTTCCTCCTTCTCCTTCCTTTCCCCCTCCCCTTCCTCCTCTCTTTCTTCTTCTTGGCTTGCAGCCTGCTTTGTGAGAATTCACCTTGTACACATATTTGCCAGATGTATAATGCCTTTAAACAAATGTGTCCTTAATATATCCCAAGGGTTCAAAGGAGTTTGTAAGTCCTATAGAAATTGTTTAGTTTTTATTTTAATAATAATATAAAAACATATTTTGCAGTAATAACTCACAATTTAAATACTTTTTCCTTTATTTTTACAGAATAGGTATTATCTTCTTTATATATATTTTTGTTTTCCAAACTGAGATCCTTAGCACCCAATAGGGATCCAAGAATATAGTCTAAGGTAGCCGTGGGCAAACTACGGCCCACGGCAGGATCCGGCCCATTTGAAATGAATAAAACTAAAAAAAAAAAAAAGACCGTACCCTTTTATGTAATGATGTTTACTTTGAATTTATATTAGTTCACACAAACACTCCATCCATGCTTTTGTTCCGGCCCTCCTGTCCAGTTTAAGAACCCATTGTGGCCCTCGAGTCAAAAAGTTTGCCCACCCCTGGTCTAAGGAGTCCATAAAAATTAGATCCTTCAGAAACACTATTCTGTATCTAAGCAAATAATTCTACCCTTTGCCCTAAAAAAATTGCATACTTAACTAAAAATAAATTCACGGAGCTAAGCTGCAGAAAGTACTCTTTAATCTGATGCCATCTCTATTTCCAACACAAGCTGAAGACAACAAGGATGAGATGGGCACTTACAAAAACAGAGACAATTACTTGGGTTTTGTTCCTTCACATATTGAATACTGTAAATTTGCATTTCACTTGTTCAGCTCTTTACATATTTTTAAAAAACCCAAAGTTCAACAAAATGTTTCAAACTCATCCCTGCTAGTATCGTTCTTCATTGCCCTTGAAAGTTGATTACTGGATAGAAAAGTGTCTTCATACTTATTTTTTAAAATCATGAACAGCTTTTAAACATAAACTGTAAATAAAAGATTATTCAGAATGCCAGTTCTTTAAAGATAGAAATTTATAAGGGAATTTTCTCTTCCATACTTGAGCTCTATTCAGTTGAATTTGGTTAGAGCAGTTGAAATAGGAATTCTGAAGAAAAGTACTGATGAGACAATATCTACCCCACCCTTAGAATCACCCTTATGGCTTGTTAGTCCTGTAGGTGAGGGTATAACTGCAGATAGGCACACTGAAAGGCTATTTAATTCCAGCTCCTCTTTCCCCTGGGTGTGCTGAAAAGAAAGGCATTGGATGCCACTGAAAATCACTGGTAGGCTTGACCCCTTCCCAGAGTCCCCGGATACCAGAATGCTGAAAATGTCAACTTTTTAATTCTAGGTTGCTTTCCACAGCCTAACACAGGACAACGAGACTTTTCAAGTTCTCTCCCTGCTCCAGTTCTCACAGTACAACTCACAGAAGATCGCTTCACGATATATACACGTGTGCCTTTATATCATTACATTAGAAAGTGATTTACGTACCATGATAAATTAGATACAGACATTGCAGCAATGCCGGGAGGAGTCTTGTGGAGCAGTCTTCTCTTGATTTCAGGATAGGGACAGTAGGCCAGGTAGACAAGATCACGGGGAATTTTAGCGCTGCCACTGGAATGATGCACAAAACACTTAGTCGCGCACAGTTGAGAAGACCTATAAAGAAAAGGTGGAAAGTGATATGTATAGTACCTGGCCTATATGACCTTTCACAGATTTATCTCATCCAGTGAATAGTGTCGTCATGTTATAAGACACACAAAAGGAAATGTGATCATTTTCCTTAAAGTACCAGGTATGTATAAAAACCAAGGATAAAACGAAACCAACCCTATAGTGAGCTCAATGCTTTCCTTTCAAAACCAAAGGAAAGGTTATTAACATGTTTATTCCCTGAAGTAGAGAATTCCTTGTTCATTCAAGGAAAGAACAGAATGTGTGTGTGTGTGTGTGTGTGTGTGTGTGTGTGTGTGTGTTTTAATATATTTTTATTGATTTCAGAGAGGAACGGAGAGGGAGAGAGAGATAGAAACATCAGTGACGAGAGAGAATCATGGATTGGCTGCCTCCTGCATGGCCCCCACTGGGGATCGAACCACAACCCAGGCATGTGCCCTGACCGGAAATCAAACCATGACCTCTTGGTTCATAGGTTGATGCTCAACCACTGAGCCATTCTGGCTGGGCCAGTTATTAGGTTTAGCAGAGTATTTGCCAACACAAAAATACTGTCCTTATAAGCACATAAAATATATATACTATATGTCAGGTTTCAACACCAGGAAAATCATTATCCTAAATTTCTGGTTTGCCTTAATTCTGGGGGTGTGGGGCATTATTGCAATTTATGCTGCTTTCCTTGCATTAATGTATGGGAAAGCTCTGAAGCAAATCTTTAACATTTCTTTAAGAACTAATCAAGGCCTCTGAGGTCTGCTTTTGATGCTAACCTCTCCTTTTTGCTAACTTTAATTTTAACCTATATATTTTTTTGTAAACACATGCCTAGAAACATATGCACACATATGCAGATTATATTTATGTAAGTAGATTTTAAAAACCACCAGCAAGTCCATTTTAGAGTGAGAAAGAGTATAATTAAACACCATAATTCCAGATTTGTTTGCCTCGGCAGAATGTAGGAAGACTATGCAAAGATATTTGATCCCAGAATCTTAGCTCAAGCCATATAACACTGTTGTGTTTGTCCGTCAAAACGGTCAAATAGTGTCAATGTTAATATGAGAGAAGAGTGGACCACAGCAGCCTCTTATCATGCCCCTCGGCCTGACTAAACTTTACACAGGCTGGGCTTCTGCCCCACACTGAGCCCCTGGCCTCCCTTTTCTTACAGCATTCACTTTAGAAAACTTGCAACTGTCAAGTCTTTCTCTGCCCCTTTGAGATATAAATCTTCTTCCAGCCTGTTGCCAGTTTTACAGCCAGGGAATGACTTGCTCAAGGGCCTGGGCACCATGCCTTTGAAATGCAACCATCAAAGGAGACAGTGCTGCACTGCCAAGTCTCTGGTAGAGCTGGAGCCTAACTTCCCTAAGTGCTACTTAGCAAAGGCAGTGGGAATAATCACAGTGACCTGCCTCCCCTTAACATCATCTAGCACTTTTCTTTTTTAAAATATATTTTTACTAATTTCAGAGAGGAAGGGAGAGGGAGCGAGAGATAGAAACATCAATGATGAGAGAGAATCATGGATTGGATGCCTCCTGCATGCCCCCTCCTGGGGATCTAACCTGAAACCGAAACCCGGGCATGTGCCCTGACAGGTAAGTGAACCATGACCTCCTGGTTCATAGGTGGATGCTCAACCACTGAGCCATGCCTGCTGGGCTCAGCGAGTGCTTTTGTACAAGCTTGCCCCAGCTGCCTAAAACACTCTCCCGCCTCCTGTTTCAGTGAGTTGAACTCTGTCTCTCTCTCCTATTGCAATAGTCTTGAATTAAGTATTCCTCACATGTTGAACTCCAAACCACTTAATTTTCCTTTGAGAGGGTATTGCTTTTGGTCCTTAAAGTTCAGGAACATTTCCTAAGATGCTGGCAATATTGGTAAAAAGTGGGATCTTTTCTCACTGTCTTTTACTTGCAATAACTACAAACTTGGATTTTGATAAGCTGTGGATTACTTGTAAAATTCAATATTAGGTACTTGAATTTTTCTGATTTTAAACCTAGATGTTTGCAAGAATAAAATATTTGAAAAAAGTCACAGTTACCATTCATAATGATTATAATAATCACTCTGACATTCTTTATGTCATCTTTTAATTTTATTTGTATCTTATAATTATCTGATTTATTTCTTTAATGATATAGACCCATGAGGCAATCAATAAAGTCTACTGAATTGAATAACACACCAAAAAGCCTGTTGTGTTTACATTTTCCTGATGGGATGTTTTTTAAAGGCTGTGGTAGTGGGCCTGTTATTCTTTTAATGATATTCAAATGATTCATTGCTTATGATGTAACCTTTCCAAGGAAAAGATCTTTGGGATCTTCAGGCAGGTTTTGATTCCTCTTGGACGCCTGATATTTTCTATCCCCTCTAACTGCACGTATCCAAATCTTCAAAGAACAATACAAGACCCAACAGATTCTATGAACTCTTGCCTCAGAGTTTAAGGTTTCTCTGATGTCCAATCTCCTACATCCAATTTAGCAATTAAAATGTGTACATAATTCTTCATGTATGTTATTTTTTTTATATATATATATTTTTTTTTATTGATTTTTTACAGAGAGGAAGGGAGAGAGATAGAGAGTTAGAAACATCGATGAGAGAGAAACATCGATCAGCTGCCTCCTGCACATCTCCTACTGGGGATATGCCCGCAACCCAGGTACATGCCCTTGACCGGAATCGAACCTGGGACCCTTCAGTCCGCAGGCCGACGCTCTATCCACTGAGCCAAACCGGTTTCGGCATGTTATTTTTACTTACTTAAATAAACTGCAGTTTTGCAAAGGTCTTATGCTCCAATTGCAGAGCATCTGGATAAGTGCCCAGTACTCTCCAGGCAAAAATAAACTAATGGACAAAATGCAATTCCTTAACAGCAATCTAACTGGAATGACTGAAAAATAATTGTTTGAACATTAACTTTTTATTATTATGTTTTTCTCTTTTTATTATGAATTTCAAGACCTTCAAGAGCAGTCAATCACAGGGAAATATATTTCTTTTTTGTGAAAACTCTGATTACATATATAGATAAATCCTTAAATAAACAAGGAAACTGAACTAAGAGTTTGCCTTTTCTCTTTATCTTGTATATTGTTCTCTAGAGATAAGATTTTAAAAGAGTGGGTGCTGCCTTGAATTTTATAATTCACATTACTTGTTACTACTTTTTAGCATGAGAAATGTATGCATACAAAACAAAATAGAAAGGGCATGCAATGAAGGATAACTACCTATCCCTTGTCTGTCCTCTTTCCCCAGCCATCCAGTCAGTTCCCTTTCACTGAGGCAACTACTACTATTACCAGTATCTTTATTCTCCTTTGGTTGCTAATCCTCACCCGAGGATATTTTTCCATTGATTTTTAGAGAGAGTGGAAGGGAAGGAGAGAAACATTGATGTGAGACAGACACATGGCTTGGTTGCTTCCCTTATATGCCTGACTGGGGCCGGAGATCCAGCCTGCAATCAATGTAGGTACCCGTGACCAGAATCACCCCAGGACCCTTCAGTACTTGAGCCGATACTCGCCACTGAGCCAAGTCCCCTAGAGCAGTACCTTTATTCTTAAAGAGATATTCCATGGTTTCTTGCTGGGGTCCAACCCCAGCGGGTCCAGGGGTCCCCAAAGGTGTGGACGGAGTCGGCGAAGAAGGAATGACGCGGAGACAGCGTTCAGTTGATCAGCAGCCTAGCCAGGATCTCCAGCCAGGATCTCCAGCCAAGTTCTGGTCTGGATCTCCAGAGAGGTTCTGCTTAGGATCTCCAGCCAGGTTCTGTGTCCATGTTCTCTTGCTAGGTTCTCCAGCCAGGTTCTGTAGCCATGTTTCCTCGCTAGGTTCTCCAGCCAGGTTCAGTCATCAGGTTCTAGTCAGGTTCTCTTGCCAATTTCTGTAGTCAGGTTCAGTCCAGGATCTTTTGCCATGTTCTCTCCAGTGAAGTTCTTCTGTCTGTAGGGAACGTTCTGTGTAGGTTCTGTGCCTAGGTTCCGTCTCTCTTGGTTCCGTATTCTAAGTTCTGTGTTCTAAATTCTGTGTTCTAAGTTCTGTGTTCTAAGTTGTGTCTCCTGCTGTCTTGTTACATCTGTATTTATACCAGTTGATTCAATCCTATCAATCTCTATTACAAAGGTTAGGGCGTTTCTTATCTCCATTCCAGGGAGTAAAGATTATGTAGCTTAAGCATGATTGTTCGTAGTTAAAGTGATTAATTACCCACCTGGCACTTAGTTAAGAGGTTTTGTTCCCTCCCTAACTTCAGGGGAAAATCCCTACCTGGGGAAACAACCTTTCTCAGAGACCTTGGTTAAAACACATAGTGCCAAGAAGGTGAGCAAACATATTAAGAACAGTATGCCATATATGCCAGGTCCCTTGAAACAGCAAGGATGGACCGGCTCCCGGCAGTTTCTATCTACTAGTATATCAAACTCTGAATCTATCTATCTATCATCTATCATCTATCTATCTATCTATCTATCTATCTATCTATCTACCTATCTACCTATCTACTTGGTTTCCACAATAATTGTAGTGTATTATACACATTTTCTCCTGCAACTTTTTCACATACATACATAATCGTATGCTTATATGCAGTATATCCCTATCAGCACACATATAGAGATGCCTCTTTACCCTGATGGTGGTAAAGCATTTCACTGAATGGATTTATGCTAATTCATTATCCCCTTTCATACTGAAGGAGACTTAGTTTGCATCTGATATTATGCAGTTACGTGCAATGCTGCAGTGTATATCCTTGTACATATGATACAATGTAGATATATATTTGAGGATAAATACCTGGAAGTAAAATTTCTGGGTCAAATCTATGCACATTTTTAATTCTGAAAGATACTGGTAAATTGTCTTCCATAGAAGTTGTACCAATTTACATTTCTACCAGCAATGTAGAAGCTTAATCATTCTGATATTACTGCTTCCTACAGTTC